ACCAGATAAGGGTGATAAGAGTGAAACAACTGCCCTAGGTCTCATTTACATCCGAGATGGAACCAGATGACCATTCATTTACATGAGAGATGGAGAACAGAAAGCCTGAAGCAGAGACTGCAGTGAATTCTGGGACCAGAGAAGCAGGGGAGCACTGCATGATGGGGAATCTGTGCTTCAAATGTTAATCAACCCATGTTCACACACACCCACCTCAGCATTTATCAGACCAGTTCTAATCTGGATTTGCTAAGGACTTTTCCCCCCCCAGACCACACACACAGCTCTAAGTTTAATAGGCATCTCGGGCCGTACATTCTCCGGTCCCACTATGGGAGGCCTATTTAAACTTGATTGACTAAAACTCGGTTGCTGGGTTAGGGAATGCTGAGGCAAGAGACCAAGTCAGAGGGGGTATGGGCAACATTTGAACAATGGTTAAGGGTTCATCACAGCATCCAGCCTGCTGGAGCCCTAATCCCAGGTGTTGTCATATCTTTCCCGAGACGACTGGTGGGAGTCCTCTCCACAAAAGGTTATGAGCACCCCAATAATTGCTTTAAGTCTGTTAAAAGACTATAGTAAGATCTGGAAAAGTCATGCTAAGCTGAGGCTTGTGCACAACAAGTAAAAATCCAAAATCCTGATGCTGCAAGCTATCTATTGTTCCTGAAGAAACCATGAGATATCCCATCAGTATATCTGCCACCCATAGGAATCTCAAGCTGGCTCCCAAGTATTTGGGTTACTCCCTAATCTTAAGTGTTTCCTGATTATCAATCAGTTTCCTGAGATGGTCCAAACCAGATAACCCCTTGTCAATAGAAAAGACAATGATTTACACTACTGAGGGTGCTTCGAAGCAGCTGAACTGAGGGTATAAAAATCTGTAAGTGTGTGTGCTGCTAGAGGGAGAAGAGGAAGAGGAAAAGGAAGGAAAAGAAGTAGAAGCAGGAGGAAAGAAGGAGAAGAAGAAAACCCCTGTGCTGACACCATCCCCTGTCGTTCTTGGGACGCTGGAAGAACAGATCATCTCTCCCTTCAAGGACTGTGCTACAGACTGTGCCTGTCAGCTTTGCAGCCTGAGTACCGTGGACTAGGTGAGATCCCAGCGTTCTCTGTCTTCTTTCTAGGCATAAACTTCTGAACCTGAACTGTATCAGTTAAGCTTGAGCTAAGTTTCCCCAAATACTTAGTGAAACCAGGGTAGTATTGTCATTGTTGGTGTTTGTTTTTCTTTTGCATGTCTATTACTACTAGTACTATTATATATTTCATATGCTTAGCAATAAATAACTTTTATAGTCAAACTGGTAGTAATTGGGTATATTTTTCCTTCTCTGCTTCTCTTTCCTCCCGTGCTCTGCAGCAACGCTTCTTTTACCTATGCTAAAGATCCCTGTGAAGCCCAAATTATTGTGGGGTCTGCTCATCAAGAGGCCAAAGATTGGGACGTGCTGAGTTTGAAACACATAAGGGGATCAGCTTGTACAGGCTGATTGACCCAGTTTGACTCAGACGTGCCCTTATGAACTGAATGCTGGCCCATGAGGGTGTCAGCTGGACACCCAGCCGGATTCAGAGGGATTCTGTTTACCTGTGTGCTTGTGTCTGACTGCATTTTATTGTTGCTCTTATGAACTGATTCTTGGCATATGAGGGTGTCAGCCTGTCCATGCTGATCAGCCCGGCCAGGTCAGGCGTGTCACGTTAATTTGTGTGTGTTTGTGTGTATGACTGATTTGGTGACTGGAGGAACCCAGTCCCATTGAGATTGAGTCCTGCAAGATAGCTCCACTGGGGGTGAGGGCTTGCAGAAGGGAGAAATACAGCTCCGTATAGTAACACAAGCAGCACATTGACAGAATCACCAAGACCCTAGAAACTATCCCTAATAAATGAGCACACTCCAAAGTAATGGGCAGATTTGGTAACAAAATTGGTGGAGAAGGCTGGCAGCACGTGACCCTAATCACGTGGTAATTGTTGAGTAGTTGCTGCAGAGTGGTAAACTGAGGCACTGATCTGAAAGCTTTACTTTGCTTTTTCTTTTCCTTTTTTTTCCTCTCTTTTCTCTCTTATCAGACCAAGCTCCTTCAGCTAGGTCCCTCTCTCATAGAACCTCCTGTAACTTTTAAGTTAAGAACTGTGCTGGAATAACTTGAAGACCGTGCTATAGAGTTAAGAGTTGTACTTTAGAACTAGGATTGTGGAGTAATACTGTGGCAGTGTGGAATCTAAGTGACTGTGTAAAAGAGGCTTTTTGATAGTGATCATTAGTGTGATAAGGGAAATGGAGATGTCTGGAAAAACCCCTTTAGCTGCTCGTTTGAGGCAGGAGAAACCCTGCAGGTTAGAGAGATGGGTAATGAAGAAGGGAAAATGTCCCTGGGAAAAAGGGTGCTTCAAGGGTGAGAATCCCCTGACTGAGGCAGGTTTGAGTTTTGAACAGTATTGCACCGCTCTTAAGCCACGTAGTAGTGCAAAAGATGCAGCTGCTGCCTGGGCATTGTTTTATGCATGTTTGGAAATGATTGAGATGTTAAAGGAGAAGCAGGAATTGGAGCTTGAAAAAGAACAGTTACAACAGCGTTTGAAAGATTGTGAGATAAACGGGTGTGATTTTGTAGCAGAAAAGCTTAAACTGGCAACGTTACTTAGAGATATGCAGGAAGACAGAGACAATGCAAGCAAGACGTTAGAGCTGTATAAGAAAGAATTGGCATACACAAAAGTGCTGTTAGAAGAAGCGAGAGCAGCATCTCGGTTCCTGGTAGAGGAAAATAAGGCAGCAAAGACAGCAGCAAGCCATCAGAAGTGTGAGGCAGAGATCAGTAAATTGCATGCCCAACTTAGTGTCCATAAGGGAGTGGTAGCAGCTGTAAGGTTGAGAGAGGATTGTGATTTTGAGTCCCCTGGGAAAATAGAGGTACTCCCTGATGCAGTCCCCAAAAGCCCATTCAACCCCGATTGGCCCTATGTGCATAATGTTGCCCCTGTTTCCACAAAGGAGGTTAAACGCCTAGTACCTGTGTGCTTGTGTCTGACTGCATTTTATTGTTGCTCTTATGAACTGACTCCTGGCATATGAGGGTGTCAGCCTGTCCATGCTGATCGGCCCGGCCAGGTCAGGCGTGTCACGTTAATTTGTGTGTGTTTGTGTGTATGACTGATTTGGTGACTGGAGGAACCCAGTCCCATTGAGATTGAGTCCTGCAAAAGAGCTCCACTGGGGGTGAGGGCTTGCAGAAGGGAGAGATACAGCTCCGTATAGTAACACAAGCAGCACATTGACAGAATCACCAAGACCCCAGAAACTATCCCTAATAAATGAGCACACCCCAAAGTAATGGGCAAATTTGGTAACACTAGTGATGCTGTACATGGGGCGGAGCCAACCTTTTTGACTGGTGTAACACAAAATTGACCCCCTCCTCCAATGCTACTCTGGTTCCCTTCCCCTGTCCCCTCTGCTGCTCTGCTTCCTTCCCTATTACTGTGCCACCTGCCCTCCCCCAGTCTGCTGCATGCCACACACAGCGGCTGTCTGTGCTACTTGTGGCATACGTGCCCCGGCTGGCCACCCCTGCTGTACATGGTGCAAGAAGTGTTCCAGAGCAGAGCCCCAGGGATCCCTTCCCATTCCTCCATGGAGCTGAGACAGAGAAGGAAAGATCCCTTGACCACTGCAGCAAGCAAGCAGGGGAGGAGTGCTCTGTCCCTCCCTCGTTCGCTCCATATATTCAGAGAATAAAAGCATAGGAAAGAAATGCTATTTACTCTTTGGTATGTAAGAGCAGGGGGAAGGTCATTTGTCCAGTCCCACTGAGCAACTGAGAGCAGCATCAGGCCTACTCTAATTCATGCTGGGCACAAGGAACTCTCCCTGCTGCCAGCAAGTGCTATCATACACCAGTGCTGTAGCCATACTCCCTTTCCCCTAGCCGTGTTCCCGATTCTCCCATACCCTCTGTCTAGCCTCAGGGCCTGGGAGCTGACAGAGGTCTGGCACTACCAGCACTACCCATCTGGGAGACTCCTGTTCTCCAAAGAATTCCCCTACAGGCCCGACATGCTTCCACCTGCTTTGTGGAGACTGAGAGCAACGATCTGGGAGCACCGCAGAAGTGCGACAGACATGGCAGCCATGCTGCATGACTGCACGGTGACTCCGGGCCCAGTTCTACCCCAGCCGATTGACTGCACAGTGTAAACGAGAGCAGAATCTGTCTCACTGCATTTTTCTGACACAACCTCAGTCACAACATAAAACATAAGCTTGGGCTCAGCAACCTATGGCCCGCGGGCTGGATCCACCCCGTTAAGATTTTCAATCCAGCCCACGGTGGGTGGGGGAATTAGTGGCATGTGGTGGCAGAGGCTGCGGATGGGTGCCCCTGGGGATCTTTCGGCCTGCTGCGTGCTGCTCAACCCGACACATCCCCACGCCATGCTCCACCTCTCATTCACACAGCTGATGCCCAGCTCTACCTGCTCCCTGCTGTTGCCACCAAATGTGTCCCTCAGCATGGCTGTTGGCCACAGAATCTGAAATGGTCGATGGCGATAGAAAATGAAGACTGTGAAGGGATGTGAGAGACAGCAAGGGAGCAGGGAACAATGGAGCGGCAGCAAGGGACTGGCCACCTGCAGCTGTGGCCAGGTCAAAAGCTGCAGCCTGCTATTCTTAAAAGTTGATGAACCGTGCACTATCATGTCTAGACAGTACTCCATAGCTTTGCCGTTCTCTGCCACTCTGCTCAGTGACAATGCGCCTCTGCTGGGTTGAACAATAGTGCAGTAGAAACTCCCAAACAAGCATTATTGGCCTTTTCCCTAGAAAAATTCTGCTTTCTTTTTCCATCGTTAGATACCTAGGAAAAGCCTCAAACCTTTTCTTGGATTGTCACACCAAAGATAATGAACCATAATTTCACCGCCCTCAAGCTCTTTTTTCTGTCACTAAAATAAATTGAGAAAAGCATTAAAGTGCTTCCTACCTTATCTTTGAGCTTTTCCATCCAGCTCCTCACTGAAAAAAAAAGACAAAACATATCAACTGCAATCATGATACTTCGGTTATATTAATTAGCTACAAATGATAATGACGGTGTTAACAAACAGACACTAATTAACTTGACGGGTTGATAACATGTTTTCATTAGATTTAATACTTTCTCGTTTATGAAGTAGACAGAATGCAGCAAACCGGCAAGAGAAACTTTTTCTGAACAATTTAACTTGGGGAGAGAAGAACTGGCATTTTCCATATTATTCACCCCTTCTTGGAGAGAAAGATGAAGAGAGGAAGATAAAGGATAATGGCTCCAAAGTTGGCTTTTTCTCCTGCAATGGGAAACCTGAGCACTGAGATGATGTCAACTTCCCCACGCAATGTGGCTGCCTGCTTCTGTCAAATGCTCTCATTTAGGGCTTCTCTTTTCTCTGGAAGGTGTTAAGCTCCTCTTGGTGCCTGCAAATGCCTTTCCACAT